GCTGCTGACTGCTGTGACTTTCTGGGGGTCGGATCGAACGCCATGCTTGTCCACCAGGTGACCGAGAACGAGAGTCTCACGGCTGCCAAAGTGACACTTCTTAGAGTTCAGGGTGAGCTTAGCTCTCTCAAGGCAGGTGAGAACAATGTCTAGACGATGGTTGTGTTCATCGAATGTATGGCCAAATATTATAATGTCATCCAGGTAGCAAAGACAAACTTCCCACTTTAGTCCACGTAACACAGAGTCCATGAAGCGCTCAAACGTGGCTGGAGCGTTGCATAGGCCAAACGGCATTACATTGAATTCAAATAGACCATCTGGGGTTATGAAGGCCGTTTTCTCTTTGTCATTCGGGTGCATGGGTATTTGCCAATAACCAGATCTCAAATCCACGGATGAGAAGTACGATGCCGAATGTAAACAATCGATGACATCATCAATCCTGGGAAGTGGGTAGACATCCTTTTTAGTAACAGAGTTGAGCCGTCTGTAATCCACGCAGTATAGCCTTGTACCATCCTTCTTTCGGACAAGAATCACAGGGGCAGCCCAAGGACTACACGACTCTTGAATAACCCTTTTCTTTAACATCTCTTCTACCTGTTGAGTAATGACCTTGCGCTCCGCAGATGAGACACGGTATGGTTTCTGCCGGATAGGGTGAGCGGATCCTGTGTCAATCCCATGGCGAGTACGCCCCTCGGGTACACCTATTTGCTCTTCTTTCTACGCAAAATCAAATATAGTAGCGTGCTTCGCAAGGACTTCGACCAAAGCTTGACGTTTTTCTGATGATAGCGACTTGTTTACCATACTCAGAAAGTTGGCTTCTGTATGGTACGTTGCACAAATAGGATCTACTCTCTCGTCACTTAAAGATGCAATAAAACTAGTCGCATTTTGTTCGAAGCGGGCGAGTCGCATTCCGCCGGGTAGCATAACAGGTTCATTTGAATAGTTCAACACCCATAAGGCCGACCGCCTATCACTGATCGACAGAACACAATGTGGAATGAGCACATTTTTCTTGGCGCAATTAAGAGGAATGGGCTCCACAAGAACATCAAACTTTCCGGCGTCCGAGGCAGAGGCGTCAACGCGTACGGTCTTCAAAGAGTTGGGCGGCAAGACAACATCCTCAATGACGGTGATAGATCCTTGACAGCACCTAGGATCGTCAGTAAATGCCGATAGCATAATCTCGCCAGCACCGCAATCTACAGTAGCCCCGCACTCGCGTAGAAAATCGATGCCCAAGATGATGTCATGGGTGGAGCTGGTCAGGACGGCGAATTCAGCCTCGAAGACCTTGTCACCCAAAGTGACACTAACAACACACACACCGATCGGGCACAATGTCTCCCCGCTCACTGCACGAAATGATGCACAACTGTCCCAGCGAAACATCACTTTATGTCCTAGCCGCAATTTGAAGTTAAGACTTATCACTGAAACAGCCGCTCCAGTATCTATTAAAGCCATCGTAGGAAGTCCATCAATAAGCACGGGGACCCTATTTTGAGTCATAAAAACGGGTGGAGGCATAGGCGGATGTAGTGACAAATGTTCGGCGACCTCACCTCCATTGGCCGCACCACCTAGTTTCCCGGAGGCGGGGAGGTGACGCGTCGACCAGGAGATGGGGAACAAAACCGGCGTGTTGTGGGGGGCGTCAAGCTTCGCACGGAGGAAGGCGAGTCGTTGCGTAAATTCCGGTGGAAATTGCGTCCTACATGTGTATCACTGTGGGTCGTTTGCTGGAAGCCCCCCCAACGTACGCGTCCCGCATTGAACGCATACCACCGCGCCAGCGGTTTTGTCGAGAAGAAGGTGATGGTCCCTCGTAGTAGCGTTGCTGGGGGCGACGCCTTTGACCACAGAATCGAGCCACATGTCCACGGAAACCGCAGTTATAGCACACAGGGGCCTCACGCACGTCGCCAAACCTTCCACGAGGCGCCATGTGCCCATGATCGTCCCACGAAGACACCATTGTAGGTGGTTGGCGGGAGGCGTTCTGGAAACCACGGCGATGATGTAAGTTGTCGGTTGGGGGCGCTGGTGCTCTTGATTGGGGCACATCATATAGCGTGGCATCAACGGCAGCACACATTGCGTCGTAAGGCGGGGAGGTGTCGATAGCAGGTGCTCTCGGCGGGTTGACAGCATCACGTCGTCCAAGTTCTTCGCGTACGATTTGCCTGATCATTGAGGCAAGATCACAGGGGGATGTTGGAGGGACGTCGACACTTGCAACGGTGGTGACGTTGGCAAGTCTACCAAATTTGGGAGTGATGCGCCTAGCCTTCAGTGTCTCAAACGTGCGGCAGTGTTGTATTACGTCCGCTACAGACGCCAAGGTGTCCTTGCCGATGAGGAAATTGTAGACATCCTCAGCAACCCCTTTGAGAAGATGCCCTACCTTGTCATCTTCTTTCATGCGTGGGTCTACAGACTTGCACAATTTCAGGATCTCTTCAATGTACGTTGTGCATGTTTCACCGGGGACTTGAGCACGCTGCATCAAAGTTTGCTCAGCGCGCTTCTTCTTCATCAATGGGTCCCCGAAGCAGCTCGCTATTTCTTTCTCAAACGCTTCCCAGGTCATTATTGTTTCTTCGTGGTTTTCAAACCACACCAACGCCGTCCCTTGAAGAAACAATCCGACGTTGGACAACCGGGAGGCCGCATCCCAACAGTTGTATTTACTCACACGGTTGAAGTGTTTCAGCCATTCGTCGACGTCTTCTCCGACCCTCCCTGAGAAGCTTCGTGGTACCATGTGCCGGGGCCACGCAGCGCCAGACGAAGAGTGCGTGGTGTCGCCGTCAGCAATCGGATCCATAGAGAGCGGTGGTAGACCAGCCAGTCGGCGGCTTCGGCGTAGTTCTTGAGGTAGCGCTTCCGTGATCGTTGGCCTTGGATCGCTCTGCTGTACCCCGCACCTTCCACCAATCTTGTTACGGTGCGATGGATGGCTTTATTTACAGGAGATGATCAAATGCGAGAGTCCAGGGATCTGGCCGATCACCGCTCGTGCCAACCTCGTTCTCCTCTTCTTCCACGCGCATCCTCAGTATCGTAGCAATATATATATATATATATATATATATATATATATATATATATATATATATATATATATATATTGATTCAGTGGGGAATGGCCTGGCACCGGCAATTGAACCATGGACCTCTTACACGTGAGGCTGATACTCTAACCACTACGCCATCGCTGCATCATCGTTATCATACGCCGCAATAAAACTTTGAATCAGCCAATGATATCTAGGGTTCTATGTTCCAAACCAACAATACCATCACGGCCACAATCGGGACTTTCAAGTTGCAGCAGAGCACAACCACGGTACCACCACGGCGCACTTCAAATCAACTGAAACGAAAAAACTAACTTTACGCACATACTGGAACAACGTGGAGTTCTGCGGCCGTACGACGAAAAAAAAAACGAAGCGCGTAATGGCACGGAAGAATGCTACGTGTCCAAATATATCACATGTCATCGACACATTATGTCCTCATGCCTAATATTCAGGTACAAGTATCTTTTACGCACTCCCTTCATTCCCCATCCTTGCCCATTCAAAACAGGGCACTAATGCATTTGCCTCTTGATAACTCCAAGGTGAAAGTCATCTTTTCCTTATTCTTTTCAGTCAACCAATTGATCCTCTCCGGTACCCTATCACCTAATGTGGTTTCGCAAGGCCTCCAGCGTCGGAGGCGCTTACTGCAAGCTTTCTGCACCTCAGTGGCTTTCGCACTGCCTCTGTAATTGGGCACACCTTTTTCCAAGTGATGTGTCATGTCCGGAAATGGTAATGTGACGTCACGTTATGTTGACGCCATATTTATAGCTATCCGGGATGTCATGCTGACGTATTTATTGTGGCGTCCTCACAAGATGATTTTGTTCCGATAGCAATTATATGGAGAGTCTCGGCTGATTTTTGCCGTCGTCGCCGCCGCCACCACCACCTTATTTACCGTATATGTATACGTATCTGGAAACTCGAGAAAAAAAAGCCGCCCACGCTCGGCGCCTAGCTCATCGTGATGTGCCTACGAGCGTTTATCTCCCACACGTACTTTACTCCGTGGAAGGGGGGGGGGGGGGGGTTGGGTGATTGTGCGTGCGCGCTTATCCTTCGCTGGCAAGAATCGCGTGCCTTCAGCTTTTACTGGAACGATTGCGTTAGTTGCATGGCCCTCAAAGGGCACTTTGCACGCTGCACAGGAATCGTTTGCGAAAACAGCGCACTTTTCGTACACAGCGAAGTATAACAACTGGGAAACAAGCAGTTTTGCACTCCTCTGAAGCTGTAATTACGTTCTGTGCGTCGCTTTTGTTTAAGCAGTGCGTTAAGCACCACATGGTAAACATTGTTAATTCGCTGTCGTCCTATGCGTGTTCTTTTTATGCGTAATTTGTGTGGAGCAGCTCGTGGCACGTTTCGATTTCGCTTGCCGTTCTCAGCGTAACAAATCAAGCTATTGCTATCGCATTCATTGCTTCGGCCTTGCGGCGACATTGTGACTTTTTTATCATCACTACTGTGTGCCCCACTGGTGGTCAAGTTTAGTGTTTGGTAAGGCAAGGAAGGCATCAGGGGGTTGTTTACAGCCTTAATAACATGCGTCAAACCATAATTCACAGCACTGAAAATGGGTAAGAAGGCGGGCTGTTCGTTTGAATAACAAATTTTTTTTTCGCAATAAAACTTTGAATCCTTCCTTCGCACATCATAGTAGGTCCTTTTGTATGCGTCTCTCGGAGAGCTGTCCATGGAGGTACTGTATATTCGCTATTATATTCCTTATACTCGTTATCTTGCCAGATTCTCCGTCTCCTTCGTTAACATTCCCGTAATTTCTATTTATGTCACACCTATAACTCAATTTACTCATGCATGGATATAGCGAAAAAGACCACACCCACCATTACAACAATTCATATTTGCGACGTGCACGCTCACCTTCGCAATTGTTTTCCGTATAGCGTAGAACTTGTCCGTTGGATCACCGGCCTCTGAGATCGGTGCGTCAAAGTCGTAGCTGGTAATAATTGGATGGAAGTGGTCGAGCAGATTGGCTGAAAGCATACACAAAAAAACTAGTCACTTGAACAAGACTCGCCGACATGCATAGTCTGTACGACACAGAACTCTGTTGGGCTGTAACTTCAGTGGCATTAAATAAGATGACAAAACCGAGACAACAAGTTACGATACTTATAATCGCGGATTTTTACAGTGAGACCTGTTGCGAGATCACAACAACCGCCGCTTTTGGCACCTTAATTATCCGCTTCTGCCACCAGTGTCACCAGTGTCAAACCGCTATCACGTGAAACAAGACAAAACCGAAGTAAAAGTTGGATTCGAACTCAGGTCTTCTGCGTGGCTGCCCTGTATTCTACCATAGAGCAAACCTGGCACTTTACTAATGTGGGAACTGACCATACACAGACTTCATATCGGTGAGGGATTTGCATTAACATGTGCGATGGAATGTCTTAGAAAAGTAGCATAACAAGCACGCATCAGACAATGTGAATTTCGCAACGTGCGGGTTCTTTATTGCTTCCGACCCACTTCAAAAGGTTAAGTTGTAACTATTTGTCACCAGCCAACACATCAATGAAGTGGACATAATGTTTTATACACAGTGGATACCTCACTCCTCCGAAGAACTTCAAATAATGGCATAGTGGACGCTTCCCTGCTACACAAATCATGACAATTTATGGTGTAGTGGGTACTATGCGAGCATATTTCTGGTAATATACTCAAAAGTGTTTTAAAAAGGACTGTTCTTACAGCTTTCGCTGTGACTGTGCTGCGCGCTCCAGGCAGGTCCTAGCATTTATTATTATTATTATCTTACAAAGCGATCATCTGAAGACAACGCGAAAACACTGAGCGAAGTTGGCCGGTAATATTGCTCTAATTGGAGGTGGAGACTGTAAATAATCATGCATGTCTCCCGGGAGCACCGATGTGCACGACAAGAAAGCCACCGCAGAAAAGCTTAAAGCAGTTATAGGTATTGGACACAGCAACAGAATGTACTCACTTTACTGTTGCACCTGTGTAAGTTTTGATATACCGTAATTCGATACTCTATTAGTCCAGAGGTCGGCAACCATCTGAGGTGCAGGGCCGAGTTGCATGAAGCCGACAATGTGGGGGCCACACGTGGGGGGGGGGGGGGGAATTTTTCGCTGGCAAAAGAGCGAAAATTCGACGTACTGACAAGAATGCAAAAGCTGGAAAATAAACATAGAGATTATGTTTATTTTAATCCCGCATGTCACGAAGTTGCAATTCACACACATAGGTTGCCAGCAAACACTTCCATTTGAGATAAAAGCTGCCATGTGGGCTTAACGTAATTAAGAAGCGACAAGGACAGGGGAGGAGGGGGGTCTTAAGTCGTGCCAAGGGCCACATAACACTGCCCCATGGGCCGCATGGTTGCCTACCCCTCTGTTCAATCATTTGATTTAGAATTGCTTTGTTTTGGGCAAGTCGGTATGACGTCTGCATGTTAAACAACACGAAATACGACAAACACAAGAAACACGCACACCCAGGTATTGTGCGTTCGAGAATACAGGTAGATTATGCGCAATGTCTGAGAATGAGAATGTTAATGGTGACTTCTGCTTCTAATCCAGAGTGAAAGAGACATATGCACCACCGCTGGTTAGAATTCCAATGAAGCGATAAGAAATTGCAGTGCTTACATCCTGATTTGTATCCAAATGACGTGCCTCCGTGGAAGACAAACCTGGTGAAATAAGTCATTAGTCAAAGAAAGCAATCCATCTCATAGTTGATATTTAACATATTTAATAAGTTTTTTACATGCACTGGCGTAAATCTATGAGAGGTCAGGGGGATCTTGACTAGAGTTGCCAAGTGCGGAAAAAAAAACGATAAAATTCTGGAAAAAGATGTTTTTTTTTTCAATTTTATTTTCGGCGCAGTTGGAAAAGTTTGCTGAAATTTCTGTGAGGTAAAACATACAGAAACATACAGACCCAGCGCTGAACGGGAAACCAAAATGTCACACGTGATACCAAAACACCGAATGACGGCTGACCACTCGCCGTCGCCATCACAAAAAGTCGCCTCCAGCGCAGCTTCGTCGCTCGGGTGAAGCCATGTTGGGGGCGCTTTCTGATGTGTTGGTACCCGTTATTGCTCTGTTTTGACTTTTTTTTTTGTACACTTCTGCGACCAGTGGTGGAAGTCTGGTTATAAAGCCGTGTGCGATCGCATTCTGCAATGGCTGGGCCAATTTCCAACGTTTGAATGCACTTCGCTGGTCTGGGAGATCGTTGGCGGAAAACCGGGACTCGCTGTCTGTAACCACTACAACAGCAGCTACGCTTCTTCAATGGGTCGTCTTAACATTATGAAGAAAGCTACAAATGGAGCCAGTCATACTGAATCTGTATGAGAGTTTGAATTACCTTTATATTTTTACCAACTTGATCAATGATTCCATAGTCGAAGCCACGACGAAATAGACATTTCTGGTTCTTTGTTCTAACCGCCGTAACAATTCTCCCATTCACAGAGAGCTAAATGAGATCGCGGTGATGCTTCTGGTCGGCCTTTGATCTGCTAAATGCCACCTTCGTTTATGACAAGAGAGAAACACTTCATTTTTAGTATTCACATGATAGAAGTTATTGCTTTTGACACTTGGCAATAAACTATCACCATGTGGCAATAAGATATTGCCATAGGCTAAAAAATTGTATTTTCCGTTTTTTTCCAAAATTTCGAAAAAACGTTGAAAAAACGGTTTTTTTATTCTGCAAAATTTTTGGTAATTTTGCATCTATAAATTTCTGACCCTCCTGCGCTTAGGCTAGGGGTACACCTTCTCCAAGTTACCCGCCTTGTAATCTATCTTTCAAACATCGTATATCTCAATGGCTTGACAGTTAAGTACAAGGCGTTCAACATTTGTAATGCCTGTTTTTTTGTTGTTTTTTTTTTACCGCGTACCGATATTGTGTACCCTTCAGCTGTGTGAGATTACTGGCACCGCAACTGCCACTCCATTTGTTTCTGAGAAGACCCAATAAAACAATGCAATTACGTGAGTTGACGAACGATGTTCATTTTGAATATAGCATTTCAAAACATTATTTTATTACTTAGGCGTCAATTTTTTAATTTTATATAAACAATATTGCCACCATGGCAAGATATGTGTTCCCCTTCTGACTTTTCAGGATATACGCCACTGGTTATATAAAGTTGATTGATTGATATGTGGGGTTTAACGTCCCAAAACCACTATATGATTATGAGAGACGCCGTAGTGGAGGGTTCCGGAAATTTAGACCACCTGGGGTTCTTTAACGTGCACCCAAATCTGAGCACACGGGCCTACAACATTTCCGCCTCCATCGGAAATGCAGCCGCCGCAGCAGGGATTCGAACCCGTGCCCTGCGGATCAGCAGCCGAGTACCTTAGCCACTAGACCACCGCGGCGGGGCTGGTTATATAAAGTCGTAAGTCAATAGACTTGCATGTTGACAGAGGCATTCATGTTGAGCATCTTGTCCAACTGGCTCACGAAGACGCTTGTGCTCACGACCGAGTGAGGTTCAGCCCAGTGGTCCAACCAGCCCGTATAGTATTCCGAGTTGACCAGAGGACCCCGCTCCTGGTGTCGCCGCTGCACAGCGAACGCTTCGCCGACGTCGCTGCCTGCGCAACGATACGGAGGAAAGCACACAACCTCGAAGCTCAATTGCTGCGCACACAGAGAGTCGCGTATCGTTCCCCAATGTGCCGCTTCATGAACTAAAGCAGTTGCCTCGTTCAGTTAATTATTTAGTAGCAGACAAGCGACGGAATCAGTACAGCGGTTACTTTAATTTTGTGTGCAGCAGGCATGAGTAAGCAAATAAATATGTGTTTTGTTGTCAATTAGTCGGTTGCTTTCTCTCTCTCTCTCTCTCTCTCTCTCTCTCTCTCTCTATATATATATATATATATATATATATATATAATATATATATATATATATATATTTATAATCAGCCTGACTATGTCCACTACAGGACAAAAGCCTCTCCTCCCATGTTCCGCCAGTTAACCCGGTCTTGTGCTTGCTGCTGCCAGTTTATACCCGCAAACTTCTTAATCTCCTTATCTCATCTTCCCACCTAACCCCCTGTTTCCCCCTAACCCGGTTGTCTTCTCTAGAAATCCAGTTAGTTACCTTTAATGACCAGTGGTTATCCTGTCTACGCGCTACATGTCCACCCATGTCTATTTCCACTTCTTGATTTCAACTATAATATCCTTAACCCCCATTTGTTCCCTAATCCACACTGCCCTCTTCTTGTCTCTTAAGGTTACACTTACCAATTTTCTTTCCATTGCTCGCTGCGTCATCCCCAATTTAAGCTGAACCCTCTTTGTAAGTCTCCAGGTTTTTGCTCCGTAGCTAAGTACCGGTAAGATGCAGCTGTTATATACCTTCCTCTTGAGCGATAGTGGCAATCTACCTGTCATAATTTGACAGTGCTTGCCAAATTTGCTCCACCCCATTCTTATTCTTGTAGTTACTTCAATCTCGTGGTTCGGCTCCACGGTTATTACCTGCCCTAAGTAGACATAGTCTTTTACAACTTGAAGTGCACTATTACCTATCTCGAAGCGCTGCTCTCTTCTGAGGTTGCTGTACATTACTTTCGTTTTCTGCAGATTAATTTTAAAACACACCTTTCTGCTCTCCTTGTCTAACTCCGTAATCATGACTTTCAATTCGTCCCCAGAGTTACTCAGCAATGCAATGTCATCGGCAAAGCGCTGGTTACTAAGGTACTCTCCATTAACTCTTATCCCTAACTGTTCCCATCCTAGGTCTCTGAAAAGCTCCTGTAAGCACGCGGTAAATATCATTGGGGAGATTGTGTCTCCCTGCCGTACATCTTTCTTGATTGGTATTTTGTTGCTTTCTTTATGAAGCACTTTGGTAGCAGTTGATCCCCTGTAGATTTCTTCCAGGATGTTTATATATACTTCATCGACGCTCTCATTCCGCAGTGTCTGCATGACGGCTGATATTTCTACTGAATCAAACGCCTTCTCCTAATCAATGAAGGCTACGTATAGTGGTTGGTTATATTCTGAGCATTACTCTATTACCTGATTGATAGTATGAATGTAGTCAATTATTGAGTAGCCTGTTAAAAGTCCTGCTTGTTCATTTGGTTGATTGAATTCTAATGTTTATTTACTCTGTTAGCAATTACTTTTGTAGATAGCTTGTATACTACAGAGAGCAAGCCCATCGGCCTGTAATTCTTCAAGTCCTTGTCATCTCCTTTCTTATGTAGTAAAATGATGTTAGCATTCTTCCAAGGCTCTGGGTACTCTTCCCGTCAGGAGACACCTCGGAAACAGGGTAGCTAGTTTTCTAACACAATCTGTCCTCCATTTTTCAGCAGATCTGAGGTTACCTGATCCTCACCAGCAGCTTTGCCTCTTTGTAAGCTCTCCAAAGCTTTTCTTACTTCTTCTATCATTACTGATGGGGCGTCATCTGGGTTATTGCAAGTTCTTATAGTATTAAGGTCGTAATTGTCCGACTACTGTACAGAGCTCTGTAAAACTCCTCCGCTATTTTAACTATCCTATCCATATCCCTAGTTATTTTGTCTTCTTTGTCCCTTAGTGCATACATCTAATTTTTGCCTGTTCCAAGTTTCCTCTTCACTGCTTTGACGCTTCCTCGGTTTTTTAGAGCGCGTTCAATTCTCTCCATGTTACACCTTCTTACATCGGATACCTTAGGCCTATTAATCAACTTCGAAAGCTCTGCCAGTTCTATTTTGTCTGTTGTACTTGAGACTTTCATGATTTGACGCTTCTTAATGAGATTCTTCGTTTCCTGGGTAAGCTTGCCAGTGTCCTGTCTACCTACCCTGCCTCCAGCTTCTACTGCACACTCCGTAATGATACTAGTCAGATCATCATTCATTGTATCTACGCTAAGGTTGGTTTCCTCACTAAAAGGCGAGTACCTGTTCTGAAGCGAGACTCTGAATTTTTTCATGTACTTTCCCTCTCAGTGCTAGCTCGATGATTGGCTTCTTGCGTATCAGTTTCTGTCGTTCCTTCTTCAACTCTAGGCGAATTCGAGACCGTACCATTCTATAGTTACTGCATCATACCTTGCCAACCACTTCCACGTCCTGCATGACGCCTGGGTGTGCACTCATTGTAAAGTCTATTTCGTTCTTATTTTTCGCCATTAAGGCTTCTCCATGTCCAGTGTTTTGCAATTAGAAGGCATCCCATTTCGTAAACTCTGGTAAAAATGATGCAAGTTCCCTGGATAGGACATAATCTCCTTTATTATAAAAGAAAACCTTACGTGGGTTATTGTGCACAGTTTTGAATCTAATTGGTGGTAAATAGGCAACGACGCAGTCATGATCACTAATTCCAGGGACAACGACAGTATCTCGGACAAGTCAGGGCCTATTTGCGAAGAGCAAATCTAAAACGGAACCGCGGTCTTTTCCTTTTCTGGTAGGTTCGGTTACAAATTGAAAAAGATCGTTTGCTTGTATCAAATCGTAGAAACTGGCAGACAGCGCACACGAGTCGGTGGAAATGCATTTTTGATCCAACCATTGAACGTCCGGCATGTTAAAATCACCTCCAAGTATGTAACCGTGGTTCAATGTTCACAGAAAGTCTGATAAAGACCTGAAGGCTTCCGGATCAGCGCATGCTGGTGAACGATAATATGACCCGACGGTGGTGACTCGACAGCTGTTTAAGTGAACGTTACACCATACTGATTCTGCGCAGCTCAACGATACGGTCAGTGAAGTAAATTGTAAGCTGGCATCGACAAGCAGAAAAACACCTCCCCCTTGGGTATTTCTGTCACTACGATATACGACAAAGCCATGCGGAAAAACTTCAGCGTCCCGGACCGAACTATGAAGCCAAGACTCTGTGCCAATGATAATGTGGGGCTTGGCTGTTGAAGTGAGCGTAGCAAATTCGTCAACTTTGTTTTTTATGCTACGGCAGTTTACTACGAGGATAGTAAACTCTGGAATATGTAATGCTGTCTGAACAGAGAGACAGTTTATATATATTGTCATCATCATCATCAGCCTGACTACGTCCACTACAGGACAAATGCCTCTCCCATGTTACGCTAGTTAACCCGGTCTTGTACTTGCTGCTGCCAATTTATACCCGCAAACTTTTTAATCTCATCTTCCCACCTAACCCTCTGTCTCCCCCTAACCCACTTGTCTTGTCTGGGAATCCAGTTAGTTACCCTTAATGACCAGTGGTTATCCTGTCTACGCGCTACATGCCCACCCATGTCTATTTCCTCTTCTTGATTTCAACTATGATATCCTTAACCCCCGTTTGTTCCCTAATCCACTCTGCCCTCTTCTTGTCTCTTAAGGTTACACTCACCAATTTTCTTTCCATTGCTCGCTGCGTCATCCCCAATTTAAGCTGAACCCTCTTTGGAAGTCTCCAGGTTTCTGCTCCGTAGCTAAGTACCGGCAAGATACAGCTGCTATCTACCTTCCTCTTGAGTGATAGTGGCAATCTACCTGTCATAATTTGACAGTGCTTGCCAAATGTGCTCCACCCCATTCTTATTCTTCTAGTTACTTCAATCTCGTGGTTCGGCTCCACGGTTATTACCTGCCCTAAGTAGACATAGTCTTTTACAACTTGAAGTGCACTATTACCTATCTCGAAGGGCTGCTCTCTTCCGAGGTTGCTGTACATTACTTTCGTTTTCTGCAGATTAAGTTTAAGACACACCTTTCTGCTCTTCTTGTCTAACTCCGTAATCATGACTTTCAATTCGTCCCCTGAGTTACTCAGCAATGCAATGTCATCGGCAAAGCGCAGATTACTAAGGTACTCTCCATTAACTCTTATCCCTAACTGTTCCCATTCTAGGCCTCTGAAAACCTCCTGTAAGCACGCGGTAAATATCATTGGGGAGATTGTGTCTCCCTGAAGTACACCCTTCTTGATTGGTATTCTGTTGCTTTCTTTATGAAGCACTTTCGTAGCAGTTGAACCCCTGTAGATTTCTTTCAGAATGTTTATATATACTTCATCGACGCCCTCATGCTGCAGTGTCCGCATGACGGCTGATATTTCTACTGAATCAAACGCCTTCTCGTAATCTATGAAGGCTACGTATAGTGGTTGGTTATATTCTGAGCATTACTCTATTACCTGATGGATAGTATGAATGTGGTCGATTGTTGAGTAGTCTGTTAAAATCCTGCTTGTTCATTTGGTTGATTGAATTCTAATGTTTATTTATTGTGTTAGCAATTACTTTTGTAAATTGCTTGTATAATACAGAGAGCAAGCCTATCGGCCTGTAATTATTCAAGTCCTTGTCATCTCCTTTCTTATGTAGTAAAATGATGTTAGCATTCTTCCAAGGCTCTGGTACTCTTCCCGTCAGGAGACACCTCGGAAACAGGGTGGCTAGTTTTCTAACACAATCTGTCCTCCATCTTTCAGCAGATATGATGTTACCTGATCATCACCAGCAGCTTTGCCTCTTTGTAAGCTCTCCAAAGCTTTTCTTACTTCTTCTATCATTACTGATGGGGCGTCATCTGGGTTACTGCTAGTTTTTATAGTATTAAAGTCGTGGTTGTCCAGGCTACTGTACAGATCTCTGT